TTGATTTGGTTCTTTTCCTGTTAGTGATGACTCGCTGGATATATGACGATGGTCAGGCGTGCACCAAGCCCTGCCACACGAAGCTAAAGAGCCCCATGGCTATGGCCTAAGCGGAGATAATGTGCCAGTAAATTGGATTACTCTACAAAAAGTGCATGGCGTGAAATTTGTATTTTGTTTCCCATAGTTCGATTTCAGTTCGAAAATGGCCAGTTGTATGGGGACGATCGAATAATTTATGCCCAAAGGTCTCGAAATTGATCGTATTTCTCCTTTCTCCAGTCTTAAACTCATCTTAAAGGCTGTTCTGGGATCTGGTTCTGGTGTTAGGCGATATATATCGTATCAGTGCTGCACGAGAACTAAATTAGCTGAGCTCCAACAATGTTTTTGTTGAGTTCCAAGAAGCCCGAGATACGAGTAAATGCAAATGCGACTGCGAATGCGAATGCCTTGCCTGTCCATCAGGGGAGACACCCCCCGCCCCCCACCACCCCCCCTCAAGTGATAAGAGAACCTTTTGCCGCCCTGGCGAATATGATTTATGAGCTGTAAATTAGCCAAGTGTCTAATTTGTGGCGAGCATCCAAAGCATTGACAGCAGGCCAGGGGGCAGGCACGGGGGCAGGCACGGGGGCAGGCATTCACATTGTTGCAATCAAATGGGAAATGTTCTTTCTTTTTCTGCTTTGGAGGGGAGGGGATCGCACTTTGTGTGTGGATTCATCACAAGAGAAAGAGAGAGAAGCCGCCAATGCCACAGAGCAGAGCAGAACATTCGACTGGTGGCATTCGAGGGAGAGCGAGAGGGATGGAGGGAGAGCGAGAGGGAGGGAGGGGGGTTTAACTTAAATTGCTAATACCTGACATTGGAATGTTTTTAGCACTTCAGTTGTGTTTGGACAACAGCAACAATGGCGCACACACACACACACACACACACACACACACACACACACACACACACACACACACACACACAGAGAGAAGCGGCAATGACTTGGCCAAAAGCCCATTGGCAGCGGCACAGCAGTTAAGCCGCCAACAAAATGCAGATGCGGCCGGAATGGAGGCATCCACCTCTCACCCCCGCTCACCCCCTCTCACCCCCCCTCACCCCCCTCATCCTCTCATCCTCATGCATTTATGCAGACGCAGACGCAGTGCTGCCGCCAGCTTGTCGTCGATTTACCTTGCAGCATCACCTCCAGCAGGCCTGCCCCCTGCCCCCCGCCCCCCGCCCCCTGCCACCAGCCACCAGCCACATCCTCATCTTTAGCTGCAGCCGCATCTTCTGCCTCATCCACAGCTCTCATGCTGCTCCCCTTTCTCCAGCAGCTGCTTAGCAATGCGCATATATTTGCCAAGTGTTCGAATGGCTTTGATCGACGTGCCCCCTGCCCCCCCCGCCGCAGCCCCCGCAGCCCCAGACCCAGCCTCTGGCTAAGAAGAAGGTGTCTTCTGGCCGAAAAAAAATAAGAATAAGAAATGCCAGCCACCAGCCACCAGCAGCAGCGGCGGCAGCAGCGGCAGTGGCAGCGGCAGCAGGTGTTGCTGCCTCGAAACTTCAAATGCAAAATCCCCCCAAAAGCCATCGCCAAATTGATTTGTCAATCGCTGGCAAACACACAACAAGAAAAGAAACGAAAAAGAAACGAAAAACCGCAAACTTCTCTGGCATTTGAAAGCCATTTGAATAACATTTCTCCCGCGGGTCCCCAAAGCTGGAGTTGAGACAAAGCTGGGACTCGGAGACCTCTGATGACTGTTCTGCCAGAGGCTGGGCAGCCCCTCCGCCTCTAAGCCCCTCCTCCTCCCAATGCGAGGAAAGAAAGTATGGGGCGCACTCGCACTCGCACTCGACTTGGGCTTTGGATATTCGGCATTCATTCGAGAGAGCGGGAGAGACGAGAGACGAGAGAGGGAGGGCAAAACTGCTGGTTGACATTAAAACACTAGACAACTGGGGCTTGAGAACTCGTGGAAACAATCCGCAGAAACAATTATGGCTTTTCTCCTGCCCGATTATGCGGGGTATTCGCGGGCATGATGTGTGCTGTGCAGCAGAAGAAAGGATAGAGGAGTGTGTGGCGTCCATCAACTGGCCACAGAATGGTCCATGGAGTGCCCTCTCCCACTCCCGCTCCGATCAATGCCAGGATATTGATGGGAGATCTTCCAGATGGGGTTGCTTCGTCCTCGCAGGCAGGCATCCGTAAGGAAGAGGAGGCCGAAAGGAGAGCCATGGCGGGATGTCCTTCTGGCCGCTCCATCGAAGGCTCCTACTCCTCCGCCTTCGTTGGACGGTGGGATCCTGAGACTATCCAGCAAGGACCTCGTCATCGACTTCTGGTTCTAGTCGAAGGACAGGGTACGATCTAGTCTCAAGGCCGGCTTTCGCAACTTTCTGCATTCAAGATATTGCATCTCTATAAGAAATACAGTTCCATATAGTTTTTCTTTCTTTTTCTTCTCGTTTTTTTCGGTGCTTAAGTGTGGCTTTGCTGCGGCCTGCAGCTGCAACGAGAGTTGTCATCGTTGCTGCCCCGTTGTTGCATGGTCCCTGGTCCCTGGTCCCTGGTCCCTGGTCCCTTCGCCAATTTGTTGCTGACACGACGACTGACGACTTGGCTTTCAGCCTGCCCCTGCCGCTGCCCCTGCCCCTTCCCCTGCCCCCAAAGAAGAAGAGAAAGAGAGGGGCTTGGCCCAGGCAGCAGGCAGCAGGCAGCCAACAGTTGGCAATGGAAGCGCATAAAAACTAATTGATTGGATGCCAAGATGTTAAGCGCATAACGGCAGCGGCAGTGGCAGCGGCAGTGGCAGCGGCAATAGGCAGTTGCAGCGTGCACCGTGCACCGTGCACCGTGCAACGTTGTCGTCAACGGGGCAGCCTATCCCCCGAGCGCTTGGTGGCGTCTCTTCAGCATTGCAGCGTTTTATTCAATTTAAATGCGCTTGCAGCGTTTTGCCTGGCCTCCCATATGTTGCCACAGCCAGTGCCCCGCCCTGTGATCTCTCCCCCTCTCCCTCTCTCTCCCCCTCTCTCCCTCTCTGCTGCAGAAATTCGCTTAAATTAATTATTTTTTATTAACTTTTCGCTCATTGATAAAATATTTCAAATACTTGCCTGCTGCCTGCCCGCGGACAGGAGACATTCCCCCATGCCCCCATGCCCCCTCGCCCCCCCCCCTCCCCCCCTCTCCCCCCTCAAAGCATTCCTTCTGCTGGAAAGGAAGGAATTAAATCGCCAGCGGGAAATGCATTGGCAAATTTGTCGCATGCGAGACTTTTACACATTCGATCGTTTTGGGGGCATTCTTGGGGCCACCCCTCCCCCCCCCACTCCCTGTACTCTCGGATGGACATCAAATTTGATGGAAAAATACTTGCCATAAAAAGATACTCTTCGATATTTCTTCCAGGAGGCAGAGCTTTGGCCAGAATGATGGGAATCGATTCGGCCTCACTTGAGGCCTAACGGTAGTCCTTCTGATGGGAGGAGGAGAAGGGGAGGAGGAAGAGGAGGAGGAGGAGAGAGGTGTATCTATGAATATCTCTGGGATGCGGAGTGCACAGGCATTTCGGGGACTCTTTTCGATGATAGATTCCAGCACCTACAGCAGATCCAGCAGGTCAGTGGTGGAAGGAGTCTCTGGTAACCCTTTGTGGTTTAGTATCTGTGCCTCTCCATTTGTATCTTCCGACTTTCTGCCATATCTTTGGCAGTTAATCGCGTCAACTCGTTATCGTGTGACGTTGAAACCACTCTCAGGGCCAGCACACACACACACACACAACACACACACACACACACACACACACACACACAGACAGAGTCGAGAAGAGTCCAGTGGAACATTTATCAAAAGTTATTGCAAATTAATTGCAATCTGTGTGCCTCAATCTGCGGCATCATCTCGAGGCAGTGATCTCTTCTCTCTCTGGCATTTTGTTTTTTTTTTGTTTCGGGGCCAGCGACTGCTCTTGCGGCAAGAGCCGCACTCTTGCTGCTGCTTACCAAAATTTATTGATGCCTTATTAGCTGATAATCACAACACTCGAAGGATCCCAAGGGTGGGGCAGGGCTGGGGCAGGGCAGGGCTCGGGTCTGGTCTCTGGGATCCTCGTCTGGGGGAAACGGTAAATGCGTAAAAGAGTGCCCTCGCATATGGCATATTAAAGTGCATTAAGATAATTGAAATGGCCAATAAAAAATACAATATTTTCCCTTTTCAAGAGATGTGCTGCATGCCACATCTCCCTTCGGTGGGTCCGGCCCCGGTCCGGTGTCAAGAACTTGTCCAAAGTGTTGAGTATCGCGCTTTGGGCGTCTTTCTGCTGCTCAGATTTTTCGGTGGATTTCTCTTCGAGGCGACAGGGAGAGGGGGGGAGAGGGGGGAGATGGGGGATTCTCGGAATCCGCACTCGCGCGCTTCGGTTGCTCTTTTCCTTGGGCTCAGTGCTGAAACGTTTTTCAATTTTCACATTTCTCATGTCTGGATGTGATTTAGTGATTATATTCCACCGATCTCTCTCTCCCTCTCCCTCTCGCTGTGTGCATTATGTATATGAGTTATTAATAAGCTTTCTTTTGATAAGAGATCCCCATTCTTCGGGGTATTCAGGCATTCATTCCTCTGCTGTTCATACAATGGGCGTGGACGCGGGCTCTCCAAGTGTTTGCTTAAAATGATTTAAGGCGTTGCTCTCTCTCTCTCTGTCTCTCTGAGGGCTCCTCTCTCCCCTCTCGAGCTCGGAATCCAGGACGCACATCTGTTGATTGCTTTTTTGTATGTTATTCACCGGAGACTATCCGTTGTCTCCGTTGCGGGGATCGCAAAGGCAGGATGACGCACTCGAGTGTTGCACAATCTTTCGTGGGTTCGCTTGAGACAATGTTTTGGCTCGAGGAATGTGCCACTAATTGAAAGACATTCCTTTCGAGGCGTTTGGGGTATAAGTACTCCCCGTTTGGCGGACACTCGGACCAGTTTTCAGCCGGAATGGGAGGCCGAATAGTCGTAGCCCTCGTGTACTGCGGCCTCCTCCTGGAGCTCTGCCACGGCGGCGGGGGGCTGCCGCGCATCATCAACGGCGGCAACGCCACTGCCAAACAGTTCCCCTACCAGGTGTTCTACGAGACCTTCGTGCTCGAGGACAGCTCCTTCTGGAGGCCCACCTGCGGAGGGACCTTGGTCTCCAGGCGGATTGTCCTGACGGCTGCCCACTGCTTCGCGCTGGATCCCTACATGTGAGACCCTCCAGAGCCCAGCAAGTCCCTCCCCGAAGATTCATTTGATTTTTGTTTGGGTTTCGAAAGCAAAGCCCTGAGGATTTACCTCGGAGCCGTGGACAAGTCGAGCGCCAGCGAAGAGGGACAACGGCGATTGGATGTGGACCGCAGCTGCGTGGTGATCCACGAGGACTTCCAGCCCCTCACGTGGCACAACGACATCGCCCTCATAAGACTGCCCATTGATGTGCCCTTCAGTGAGTACATTCGGGCCGCCAGGCTGCCGCAGCCGACCAACGACTACGTGAACGCAGAGGCCACCGTCTCCGGGTGGGGTGCGTACCAAGGTACAGTCCTCTCTCCGGCTTCCCGGGTCCCCGGTTCTCATCCCAGCTTCCGTTCCAGCCTCGGCCAGTGGGGACCTGCTCTGGCACGATCGCCTGAAGTACTACGACATCGGCGTCATCTCGAACGAGGAGTGCGAGGAGAGGCGGCGGCCCGTCTTGCCGGGGATGTTCCCGGCATCCTTCATCTGCATCGCCCCCAGCGGGAACGCGCCCTGCCGGAACGACTCTGGGGGACCCCTGGTGCTCAAGGACGGCGGGGACTTCGTACTCCTCGGAGTGACCTCCCACGGCCTCAGCCGGAACTGCACCACCCACCTGCCTACGGTCTATACCAGAGTCTCTTCGTTTCTGGACTGGATACGAGACCATTCTGGGGCTCAAATTGAGATCTGATTCAAATATAACGCCAGGCCATAGGTCCAACCCAAGACAGTCCTTTGTCCCCCCTTTATCTCTCTTTTTTTTGACCTCACGCCGGGATCTATCCGGTTGTCCTGGCCGAGGATTGCATTGGTCTGTCGTTGGCTACGTGGAGCGGGATGGATGGATGGGCCAGAGTGCCCCTTTCCCCTGCCTTTCTGCCTCTCTGGGCCTTGCCCTATTGCTGGCCCTACGATTATGATGCCTTTTGGTGGCTTGACGAATCCCATTCCACTCTCCCGGAGCGGGAGATCGCCGACACCAGGAAGTAAATGCTCTACAATGGCAATCCCCTTCTTGACTTTCCAGGAATTTTCGAGGCGTAGCAACTGTTTGTGACATGTTTTGATTTGTGTGTTTGGGTCCGACGACGTTTACGACGCGAGGCTTGTAAGTCTTTCTGCCAAAACATTACAATGGCCAGAGACCTCCCCAGACCCAGAGCCAAAGGCAGAGCCAAAGCCAGAGCCAGAGCCAGACGCAGAGCCAGACGCAGAGCCAGGCCCAGAGACGAGGAAACCACTAGAGCAATGCTTGGCTAACGGACGACGAGAGGGCCTCCAGAACTCGACAGATCTCGACAGAACAGAAACAGGAAGGGGGAGGGGGTAGGGGGAAGGGGGAGGGGGATGGGGGAGGGGGGAGGGAAAAGAGAACGAATCGAAATGTTATCGATGACATTAATAGCGATTGCGCTGAGGCTTTCATCAATTACAAGTCTGTTGTTGGACATGGATCTGCCTCTCTCTCTCTGCCTCTCTCTCTCTCTCTCGGGGGCCCTCTCTCTGTGGAGAGCTCTTTCAACCTACGCACAAGCAGAGAGCCCCAGCGAAAATTGTAAATTATTACAATGCAAATGATTTCCATATTGTAAATATGATGTGAGTGCTGATAAAAAGGCAGGCGAGCAGGGGAGCAAGGGAGCCCGCCTTCCAGCCCGACTTGAGGCCTGAATGGGGGCACAGGGCCTGCAAGTTTGTGCAAACAAAAGTTCAACGCATTCAAAGTCGAGTCAAGGCAACAGCAAAGGCGGCAGGCAGCAGGCGGCATGCGGCATGCGGCAGGCGGCAGTTTAAGTAATTTTGCGAGTACCGTTTTTGGGCTTCAAGTTGGGTTTTGGCCCTGGCTTTGGCCCTGGCTTTGGCCCTGGCTTTGGCTTTGGCTTTGGCTTTGGGTTTCCTTCTTCTTGACCATCAAACCAGCCACCAACGTCGTTTTGGAACGCCGGCAATCAAGTCAACTCTTGCTCCGACTTCGACTTCGACTTTAACTCGCGCCGAACTGTATTAACTCTCTGTCTGTCTGTCTGTCTGTCTCTCTGTGTGTCTCTGTTTCCCCCCCTCCCCCCCTCTATGCCTTGAAAAGAGCGCCAACTGTTGCCGAATGTCTGTCGTTCTGTCTGCTGCCCCGTCAGATGGCAGAGGAATCTTCCTGTTTGCACACAAACGTCACGTTCGAGTCACGTTTCCAGAGGAGCAGCCCCAGCCCCCCATCAATGGGGTGCCCGGGCACTCTCTCTGTCTCTCTCTCTCTGTCTCTCTCTCTCTCTCTCTCTCTCCAACAAACAGTTGATGTTTCCCACAAATTTAAGGCCGCGCAGAGGGCTTGGGCTTCGGTTTCGGCTTCGACTTGGGCGCTGGCGTAACGCAACAATTTCGCAATCACCTGACAATGTGACAGGTAATAGTCGTGTCCAGCATACACTAGACATTTGCATACTCGCACTCGTACGTCCTCCCGGTCCCCCCGGTCCTCCGAGCGGGCCCCGGCGTGGCGAGTGCTGCCGGACGAGGCTGTGAAGTAATTTCGTGGCAGTGGAGGTGGCACTGGAGACTGTGGCAGCAGCATACTGTGATAAGTAATTGCATTGCGTTTTCCTTCGTTTGCGGAACACACAATTTGGGGCATCACCTAGGCCTAGGTCTGGGCCGAGGAGGAATCGAAAGGAAGAGCCAGCCAACCCATTCATGAAATGGGCCCCCGCCTCGAAACCTATACCCGTACACCCGTACCCGTACTCCTACCCGTACTCCTACCCGTACCCGTACTCGTATAAATTGCTGAGATTTCTCTTCTTCGCCTTGACTGTTGTTCGTTTGCCAGTTGCTGGCTGGCTGCCTGGCTGCCTGGCTGCCTTGTTATTAAAAGTTCAACCCACATGAGAAGCAATTTGCAAAACTGTTAGAACGAATAAATAGTTTAACAGAAAGAGCAGCCAAGCAGGAGGGGCAGGAGGAGGCAGCCACAGATACAGGGAATCAGCAGAGAAAGAGGGAGAGAGGGAGGGAGGGAGGGAGGGAGGGAGGGGAGGGAGGGAGAGAAATGCTATCCTAAGTGCCACTTGAGTTTGGAATTTGATAAACCAAAGAAGAGCTCTGGAAAATCTCTGCAAAAGAGAGATGCATTTTCACCTTGAATCAATTTCCCCCCTCCCCCCTCCCCTCCCATCATCCTCTTTTTGCAGCAGAAAAAAAAAACAAAATGCAGATTGGCCTTAAGTTGAGGCAACACTTTTGGGGGCACCCTTGCCCCTGCCCCTGCCCCTGGCTTGGCTTTCTCCTACGCTTCTCTCTCTCTCTCTCTCTCTCTCTGTGTGACTTTTGGCCAATGCCAAGTGCCAAGTGGCCTCCTCCTGGCCTGCCCTGCCCTGCTCTGCTCTGCTCTCTGCTCCTCCTTGGCCTTCTAGATATTTATTCAATGGAAGAGCCAGAGCCAGAGCCAGAGCCAAGCCTTCGTTTGAGTTGCACTTTTGCCTGCCACATCTTCACTGACTCCAGCACTCTTCCCTGCCACATCTCCCTGCCTCTCTCTCTCTGCCTCTCTCTCTCTGCCTTTGCCTTTGCCTTTGACTCTTGGCTTTGACTCTTGTTTGCTTTTCGCTGATTATTTGCCTCTGATTAAGTTTATGGTTCATAAACCAGAAATTTCAATTCAAATGCAGATTCGCTCGCTCCGCGCCACAGAGAGAACTCCAGAGAACTGCAGAGAACTGCAGAGAGACGAGCGAGAGGAAGAGATTTTAAATAAATTACATGAGCATTTTGCTTGGCTCTCGAAAGCTCTGTTGTAGGCTAATTGTATGCAACAAGAGAGGGGCGGAGGGGAGTGGAAGGGAGGGGCGGAGGCTGCAACAAGACATCCTCCTCCTCCTGCTGCTGCTCCCCCTCCTCCTCCTCCCCTTCTCTATTCCCTGCGCCCACCTGTGTGTCGTCGGGATTTTGGGTTGGGTTCCGATCCTCCCCGCTGCAAGGACGGGGAGGGGGCAAGCGACAGTTGCAATTTGCAATGCGCGTCGAGCTGGCAAGACTCGCAGATGCTTTCGCGCCAATCTTTTAATAAGAATCAAACACTAGACGAAACGGAAAACTCAAAACCATTTCTCGAGCAGCAGCCCAAAAGCTATCGCTGATCGTAGCGGTAGGTAGGCAGCAGACCAGCAGCCACACAGCCACACAGCCACACAGCCACCCTGCCACATCTTGTGGCCAGTCAGCAGCGGCAGCAGCAGCGGCCTCTCGGAGTGTGGAATGGTCGATGGAGATGGAGATTCGAATTGTTGCGCCTGGTGGCTGCCTGGTGGGCAGCAGACGCTCATTACGACGGCGCACTGGATTGCCTGCTGCCTGTTTGGGGGCAATCATGCGTTGCATGGCACCCTACTTGCAACACGCCAAAAACAGAAGTTCTTGTCGCTTGCTGCCATTGAGAATATTTCAAATTGCAATCAGATGGCAGCCCCCCAGCCCCCCCAGGCCCCCCAGCCACCCCGCCTCGCTGCCGAGGAGGCCCTGCCACCGGACTCTGCCCCGCTCGCGACTTGCAACGCGCTGGCGGGTGTTCGGCTGTACTTGCAGCATTAGTTTCAATGCGCTTTAATTTATTAAAATATCAAATTTAAGTACATGCTTTGCAGAGAGTCTGCAACAGCGGCAGCAACAGCGGCGGCAGCTTGTGGCAGCAATCGAGATTTGTGTGTGATTAGTGGCATCTGAAATTGGAGAACCTTTGGCTGCTGCTGCTGCTGCTGCCTGATAGATGGTCGGGTCTCCGGGGGGAAACGAGGAAAAGAGAAATTGAAATTGAACTGAAATTTGGCTTTGAGATATTCGACGGGGAGGGCGGCGGGGGGAGTCGCGGAGAGCTCCTATCTGCTCCCCCATCGCTTCGAGCTCCTCCTATCAATGCGATCACTGGATGATTCGCTGAGGGAACCACCTCCTCCTCCTCCTCCTCCACCTCCTCCTCCTCCTCCTCCTCCTCCTCCTCCTCCTCCTCCTCCTCCTCCTCCTCCACCTCCTCCACCTCCTCCTCCTCTCTTTTGCCGGCTCTTTCGGGGCTAATGGCTTTGCACTTTAGACCCAAACGCATGGGCACGCCCCTTGGCCCACAACGCCCCTGACCTACATAACCACCCCTCTCCACCCCCTCCTGGGCTCTGGGCCGAATACGTGTATTAATTAAACCCTAAGGAATACCTAAAAACAAACAAGAAAAAAGGAAAAGAATACAAAGGAAACTTAAATTTCCCGGCAAGACACTTTCCTTGTGGACTTTTGTCTCAGACACAATATTATACCTCGTGATCTGTGGCCGCCCCGAGGGTATGCTGTACTTGTGGATGGCCTCAAAAAGTACTCGATTCGATGTCTATTGGATCTCCGGAGTCATCTTCGATCTCCTTCGTTGGTTGGGCGCTGAGCGAAGGGAATTGATCGGGTACTTGCGATAGCATGCCAAAAACCTATCGAACAACGATGAAATATCGATAAAGGACCCATTGAACGACGATCGTAGTTTTTCCGACAATCGGAACGGGGAAAACCCCATGGAATATCTGTGGGGGGGCACCTCCGTCGCTGTTCTTTGGATTCCCAGAGGGTTTCCTTGGGCATTCTCCCCCGACTAGCGGGTATCCTTTTGGTCGGCAGGAGGACTCGTAATCTTCAATTGCAACAGAACTGGAACCCAAAATCCATGCTGCATGCTCCAAGCTCCAAGCTCCAAACCGTTAG